TGAGCTATAATCACTCCTGGAGGTGATCTTTAGGCTATAATCACTCCTGGAGGTGATCTTTAGGCCATATAATAGATGAGACTCTAAAAAGAAAAAATATCAACTGTGAGTAATATATCCCTTAAAGATCAGAACAATCAACAGTTACCCAAAAATCAAGATGTGTCATTAAGGGATGTAGAACATTAACTTTCTGAACCGTGCTTTGACAATTGAATAAGTTACCCCATAAGACTGGCTAAGGCCTTCAACCCAGTAAATAATTCCATGAATTGTTTGGATATGCCTAGGAAACATCCATAACTGTGCTCCCATGTGCTTTATCTATGAATATACAGCAAATATATGTGCACATGCCCTGGTGATGCTGTAGTCAGGTGTTGGACTGCTAACTAAGGTTATCAGTTCAAGGTCACCAGCCATTCTGAGAGAAGGATGAGGCTGTTTGCTCCTGTAAGCATTTAATTTTGGAAACCCTGTATAGGGTTGTTTGAGTTGGGATTGACTTGATGACATTGCGTATTTGGTGGTTTTTAATATATATATATACCTTTACAACCATACTCATTTTTGAGCTGTTATTTGAGATCTGTTTTCTTTCTGGAATTTTCTAGGTTCTTTTCTTTGATCCTAATAATCTGAAATTTCACAGCGTTTTGCCTTGGTACGAATCTTTTTATCATCTCTGTAGTGTCTGGTTTTGGTAAAACTCAAAAGAATCACTGCCATCACGTTGATACTCCAGGCTCATTATGGGAGTAGAAAGTCTCCTTTCTCCCTCAGAATGGCCAGTGGTTTTAACTGCGGACCATGCAGTTAGCAGTCCAGTGCATGACCACTGTACCACCAGGACGCTCACTTCTGAAAAATCTGTGATGGTCAGCATGGGGTATCTTCCTAAAGCATTCATTTCAATTTCTCCCCTCTCATGCCTATCTTCTTTTCCCTAGAAACCTTTTATTTTAGTTGTTACACTTTCACCAGTCTAGACTAGTTCTATTTTTTCTTCTCTTTGGCTGTTTTTGCTTTACTTAAAAAAAAAGAATTTCAATCCATTTGTTGAAGTTTGTCCTTTGGTTGTTAAAACTAATTTTCAAGGGTTTTTGTTGTTCTTTTTTCTTTATCTTGGAGTTTATTTCTGTTATTTGTACAATTATAAGACATTAATTTTATTCACTATGTTGTCCAGCTTTTTGCAGACCTTCCCACTATCATTAACAGAAATACAGTGACCCATTCTCTCCCTACATCTCTTGATCTTTTTCTTAAAAAAAAAAAAAAAAAAGGTCACTTATTCAGCAAACATTTTAAAGCAGTATTAGATGCCCAGGTTTATTTCATTGAGTCCACTGACTGCTGGGAATGGAAGGGACTCATCCTCTTTCTCCTACCCCGGAGTAACAAAGGGTTAAGTTCTGACATTCGTGTCTCTTAGGTGTTTTCTTTCCCCTATTATGCGGATTAGTTCTCTGTGGTGCAGAATTTTTAAATAGCAGTTCCAGTTTCCTTTGAGAGAACGAGGGATTGAATAGAGAGCGTATGACATAGAGAATATAGAAAATACAGTCAAAGCAGTGCTTCCCTTGAGTTAGGTCTGCTGCATGGACTGCAAGTGGTGCAGTCATTTTCCTGCCAAAGTTGCCCATTGCTTAGGGAAGAACAGTGAAGAACAATGAAGGGCCCTGCAGAGGTTAGGTCCTGCAGAGGTTAGATCTCAGCACAGCAACTCGGAGTTTCTGAGAGTACTTAATTTTGAGAACTGAAATGAGGAGTGGGATTTTGAAATCCTAGGCTAGATTCCCTAATGAGCTTAAGCAGCTATTACTTGGAACAGGTGAGTAGCATTTAAAGAAAATTCCACAGAGACTATCAGCTTTATATCTACATTAGAAAGGAAAATCCTAGAGGGGATGCAATTTTAGATAGCTGGCTTCCTCCCATCTTTAATATTAAAGAGAGTGAAAATCAGTGTCTTTGGTTATGAGGAACTTCCTTTTTACTTAACAAAGAGCACATGTCTTTTTTTGGAAAGGAAATAGAAAGAGTAATACACTATCACAGGATAGAAGGAAACATGTTATTTTTTGTTGTATGCAAATAATACCGGTTTAGTTTGTCCTCTTGTATTAATGAAGCCCCTGGGTGATGCAAATTGGTAATGTGCTTGACTCCTAGCTGAGACTTCTCTTCCAGAGGTGACTTGGAAGAGAAATCTGGCTTCCTCCTGAAAAGTCAGCCATCAAAAGCTCTATGAAGCACAGTTCTACTGTGAGAGTAAAGAAGAAGTAGGAAATAAGAAGATGTTATATGAGGATGGAGAACTAGATCTATGAGCCTATATTTATAGGTTTAGTGTTAAGGTAGCAGAAGGACATTGGGCCTCCGCTCAAGTACTCCCTCAATGCAAGAATACTTTCTTCTGTTAAAGAAAAGAAATAAGAAGATGCAAGATTCATACATGTACTAGAGTGCAGAAACACTGACATTGTTGTGTTACATATTTTCTTACTGTTCCCTAATAATTAAAAAACATCTTTTAGTATTTTAAAGGAACTTTAGGATTACAGCCTGGAGATTCTGCTCTGTTCATCAATGGACTTCACATTGATTTAGATACGCAGGATATATTCAGGTATGGATCATATTTTTCATTGTATGAAAAGTTTTTCTAGCCATGTTATTGCCTTTTTTATTTAACAGTTTTGTTGGAATGTGATACATGTACTATACAATCCAATGGTTTAAATACATTAAAAAAGTCATGCAGACATCAACACAATTTTAGAACACTTTATTTTTATGTCCATTATTGCTGGTTCTCCATTAATTTACCCTGCCATAACCTTAAGGAATTATCAATCTACTTATTGCATCTATGGATTAACTATCCTGGATTTCACATAAAGAAAATCATACAAAAAAAAAAAACCCCACCCCAACGACAACAACAAGGTAAAATATAAGAAAATCTCAATCCAAGAGAAAGCAAAAGATAACGGAAACTAGAACAAGAGTCAAAAGAAACTTAAGAGTCAAAAGGGAAAACAAATTGATAATATGTTACATTTTAAACAACTGTTTCTGCAGTCATCTACTTTTCAATGTACTTTGAAGGAAAGATTCACATCCCTAGTCAATGGAGTTCAGCAGAGGCTTATCACATCTGAGGACTCTGCAAAAGGATGTTGGGCTTTCACTGTCAGCTAGAGCCTTCTGCAAACCAGTGGTCAGAATTTAAGCTCTAATACAATTCCCTCTTCAAAGCTTGTATTTTATTATTTATGATCTATACATCACTTGGGCTGATATGCTCCTTCTGGATAGACTTAATTGACAACTTGTTTAGATGACTGCTTGTTTTAAGACAAGTTTTTAAGATCCAAGACATTAGTCTTTCTGACAGTCAGGCACCATTTGATTTCTTCACCACACTTTGCTGTAGCACTCATATCTTCAGTGATCACTTCTTGAGGGCAAGTATTGACCAGGGCCTATAATAAGATCTAAATATCCGTAGATTAGTGCTTATGATTAGTTATGAGATGAAAATCCATTTATATATCTAATTTTTGTATCCCTTCTCTACTTTAGAGACAGTATGATTTGAGTAACCTCCATGAGACATTTGGTAATTCTAATAGTCTCATTAATCAGCAAGATTAATTGTTGATTAATGAGATTTCATAGTACTATTGTGAAAAGGAAAATATACATGCATAGGAAAGCTTTTTAGTCTAAAATACATGAGTTGTTTACTTATACAGGTTAAAAACTTAAGGAATTTAACACTTTAAAAAAGCAATGAAGGTTACACACAAGGCAAAGAAACTTTCAATGATGCTCATTCACTAAGACAAAACTGTATCTTTAACACTAAAACATATCACAGAAAGCAAAGAAAGTATAAATAGCAAAGAGAGAAAGTAGCAAATGTGTGGTAATCTGAAGTTGCCAATTATTGGACAAGCTCAAACCCAAGTGATTTGAACCAAAATCCACTGGCTTTCAAATCTACACCTTGGGATCAAATCTATACCTTGCTTCTTCTGACACTAGGGTGTTTCAGCTTTAAGTTGAAAGGAGTATTTCCGTTCCTTTAATGTGCATCACATGCGTTTAGGTGCAGTCTGGGTTATTTAGAGAATAATCATAACTTTTCGGATGTGTTTAGATTGTCATTCCTCTCCTGCATGTTATGACGTAAAAGCTGGCATCTTACCAAGTCCCAGGAAGTGTACATAGGTGATGTGATGAGCATTAGATATGCTGCTCCTGTATGTTACAGTACTATGTACTTTAAGAGCAATTATTTTTCCAGGATTCCTGTTTGGAGCTATAGTTTTCCTTTCCGTTAACCATATAAATATAGAAAACAGTGGATTAATTTGCTTCAGGGAATAGTGTAAGCAGGTTCATTTAAAAATGCTGTCTTCACACCCCCTAACCCCCGCCCCTAGGGGGACAAACAACAGAAACTTTGGGGGGAACAGCAGTTTGTATAAGATATGAAAATAATAATAATTTATAATTTCTCATGGGGCCACGCAGGGTGGAGGAGAGGGAGGGAAGGAGGGAAAAAAGAGAAGCTGATAACAAAGGCTCAAATAGTAAATATTTAGACAATAATAATGGCAACATATATACAAATATGCTTGATACAATTGATGTATGGATTGTTATAAGAGCTGTAAGGACCCCCAATAAAATAATTTTTTAATTAAAAAAAGATAGAAAATGCTGTCTTTAGTGTCTTAGAGAAGGTTCTGTCTTAAGCCATTCTTTTTTAGCTTTTGTTATTAAAATACAGTTCAGGATTAAGTGGATTTAAATTGTCCCCACGATTATTTGTGATGTGGTTTGGTAGCTGGGTAGAAGTCACATTTTACCTTTGAAATTAACTGCTACAATGACAGGGTGAATTCATAATTATACTAACATTAGCTTACATAAGAATTCGTCATATTACTAACAATACGTTACAGAGGTACTCATGAGTATGTAAAATGCATGTGAACATTTTAAATCATTGCCAATATCTGTTTTTGGTTAGTTTAACATTTTTATTTTTAGACTATCATGAGTATTTGCTCATTGTAAAGAATTTTATAATATAATAAATATAATAGTCTTATCCCCACCTCTTTCTTTGATCACCTTTGGTCTTTTTGCTTAACTTCCATATTTGGTTTGGATTCTTCCAGACCTTTTCTATGTGCTTAAGGACACTGCTCATAATGGTGGCTTTTGAAAAAACTTTGTTTTGAGAGATTTGTCGATTCATATGCAGTTGCAAGAAATAATAGAGATATTAAAGTATTTCTAAAAGCATGCAGAATAAAATAATGATTTAGGGTTCTATCATTTAAAAATTGTGTTTATATACTTAGAGATATTTACACATATAGACAAATATGAATAAATGTGATCATGAAAAGCAGTCTTTATTTTATTCTCCTTGCTTTTGCAAGATGAGGTAAGAGGAAGATTGATATTTTTTTGATTATTGTACTATTCTGATCATCATAGTTTGAACAAATAGTTTTTTCTAGTGAGGAGCATAGCATAGACACATTTCTTTATTTTACTTTTTAAAATTTCTTGTTGTGAATTGGTAAAAATTTATAGAGCAGATCAATTTTCTATTTCTTCCATATCATTTGATTGTAATTCCCACAATGTAACATCCTTCATCCCATTTCTCTGTGCTTCTGTTTGTATTCATAACTATTCTGAATTTTGCCCTTGGGTAAATTCTGCTCGTTTGAACTCAAATGGTTGATTATTCTAAGGAGTGGATGTGTCCTTGGTGTTATAGTTCCCCTCTTATACCTGTGTATTGTCTGACTGAAAATGAGCCTTAGGGGTGAGTTCATTTCCAGACCTGAAAGGTGACTAAAAGCCATAGTTGTGGGGGGTTCCACCAGTCTCTTTTTGGCCAGGGAGCTTGGTCTTTTTCTTGATTTTGAGTTTGTTCCGCATTTCCCTGCACAGCTCTTTGATGTAACCCCTTACAGAGCAATAGGCAGTGATCGCCAGGAGCCACCTAGTTCTTCTAGTCTTTGGGTCATGGGGCTGATGTTTGTGTGTTCTGACAGGCGACTGGACTCATTATATGCTCGTGTGTTCAATTTTCTTCACTCTTCTTTCTTTTGGAAGGGGCGAAAATTATTAAATGTTAGCTAACTGCTCAGAAACTTTTAAGACCCTGGTCAGTTTTCACCAAAATAGGATGTAGAATATTTTCTTTGTGGTATAAACATATTTTTAAAAGCTTAATTAAAAAAATTATTAATGTATTCTTTTCAGTTTATCCGACATATTGAGGAATGAAGCATGGGTAATGGAAGGTCTACACAGATTGGGAATCGAAGGCCTTTCTCTGCATAATGTTTTGAAACTGAACATCCAGCCTTCTGAGGCGGACTATGCAGTAGACATCAGGAGTCCTGCCATTTCAGTGAGTATTCTTTCAATGGCCAATGAACATTCAGCTGGTATCTATCTGTGTTACAGTTTAATTTGTCTTTTATGGGAGGTTAAGTTGTTCCTACCATCTCTCTTGTTTGCATGAAACCAAGATAAGCAATTGATTATAGATGTCTGTGTTATGCTGGGTTCCCTAGAGAAATAAAATCAGTGATGCTTATATGTGTATGTATACACACACACAGAACAATTTTTTTAAAGTTATTTTTTAAAAATCTTTTTATTAGGGGCTCATACAACTCATATCACAATCCATACATACACCAATTGTGTAAAGCACATTTGTACATTCATTGCCCTCATCATTCGCAAAACATCTGTTCTCCACCCAAGCCCCTCACATAGAACAATTTACATCAAGAAATGGCTCATACAGTTGTAGAAGGTGGGGATTGGGGTTAGTCCTATACAAATCAACTTGTTTAGCAGTGGGGGTTGACAAACCTGGAAGCAGGAAGACCACAGGCTGGTTGATGCAAATCAAATGAGTCCAAGGTTGCAGTCCACTGATGACTCCTGGAATCAGCAAATATACAAATGAATCCCTGATACATGGTATCATTGAGCCTTATTTCCTTATGTATAAAAGAGAGTAAAATTTTTTGTATGTGGGGTAATAACTAGGTATGTGCTAGATATATGCCTATCACCTGGAGAGTTGGCTTTGTCCTACTGGTCCGTTGGCTTTGTCCTACCTTTTCTTTAGAGAAATTTTATTGGCAGACACATAATGCGTACTATTGATAACCTAGATAACCATTACTTGAGCTCTAACTTGCTGATGTAATTAACTTGTTTTGATACACAATATACCACTTGTTTTTCTATTCAAAATATCAATTATTAAGAGTAAAAAGTTTAACATAATTAACAACCATGTGACTGATCATTCATATTTAATGAATTTAACCATTCCATGTCCTTTTTTTTTTTTTGGTAAGGGGAAAAAACCACCTCATTTGAAGCTTTTTTATATTCCTTTCCAATTCTACTTTTCCCCCTACAGCTAATTTTTCTTTTGAAGTTGAGGTGCATTTTGCTTTCCTTGTGTCGTGCTTTTATTCTTTAAAGGCACCCACACCAAACACATTGCCATTGAGACAATTCTGACTCATTGCAATTGTATAGGGCAGAATAGAACTGCTCCTTAGGATTTTTGAGATTGTAAATCTGTTTTGTATTTTGTGTATTTAAAATTTTTGCATAAAAACCATAGCTGTATTCTTCACCAACTTTATTTTTTCATACATCTATTTTTTAATCATTTTATTGTGGGCTCATACAACTCTTATCACAATACATACATACATTGTGTCAAGCACATTTGTACATTTGTTGCCATCATCATTCTGAAAACATTTTCTTTCTACTTGAGCCCTTGGTATCAGCTCCACATTCCCCCCCCTCCACCCATGAACCCTTGATAATTTATTATTTTGTCATGTCTTACACTGTCCGCCATCTCCCTTCACCCACTTTTCTGTTGTCCATCCCCCATGGAGGGGGTTATATGTAGATCCTTGTGATCATTTCCCCTTTCTACCCCACCTTCCCCTTCCCCTCCTGGTATAGCTACACTCAATATTGGTCCTGTGGGGTTTATCTGTCCTGGATTCCCTGTGTTTCCAGTTCTTATCTGTACCAGTGTACATCCTCTGGTCTAGCCGGATTTGCAAGGTAGCATTGGGATCATGATAGTGGTGGGGAGGAAGCATTAAAGAACTAGAGGAATTTTCATACATTTTTCAAGGCCTAAAGTAGTTGATACATGTAGAACTAACTAGTTTTCTGTATGCATATATATTTTATAATACAGATAGTGCAAAAAGTGAAGCACTTACTACCAGCTGTAAGATGGTGGTTCAGATCTACCTAGAGATGCTTCAGAAGATAGGGTTAGTTATCTGCTTCCAAACGTTCTCAACCTTGAAAACCATATGAGACCGATTTACTCTGTACACATGGGTTGCCATGAGTCAGAATTGTCTAACTGCTGCTAACAGTTGTAACAACTCATTAAAAATATATGCATATCATTTCTATTGTTGTGGTTTAAGTTTTGATACCAAAGTGTCGTACAGTGAAAAGTCTATCATATACTGTCTAGTTTATCAATCCTCAGAGACAAAAAGCATTATCAGTGTATACTTCCAGGAACACCACGGGCATGCTTAGAAGCTAAGATAGAGCTACATGTTATCCCGCCTCAGGAGCCCTGAGTGGCTCAGAAGTGAAATGTTCAGGTGCTAACAAGCAGATTAACAGTCAGAACGCACCAGGTTTTGAGTGAGAGAAAGATGGCAGGAGCCATCTGGCTTCTGTAAAGATTACAACAGGGGAATTTTACTCCTCTCAAAGATTGTTCTGTGAATTGGAGTTAACTCTCCTGTAATGGATTTGGTGTGTTTTTTAATCCCTTCAGCCCATCTTATATTGATGATGCATAGAGATATTTCAGGTTCTTTCCACTTTCGACTGAATCAGAAATCATTCCATTTTCAGTGCACAAAGCACTTGACTTGCGTATTATAGTTATATGGCTGTCTGTTGTTGGAACATTGTCATCAGTCATTAATTTTTTTTAAGCCATTCACTTTAATACTTAGTATATTAATCCATTTCTTTAGACTTTTATTGCAAAATTAGGTGGGGGGTGTTTACATTTCAGATCTTCAGTTTTATATTCAACAACTTAAAATACTTATTAATACCCTCAATAGCTTTTTCTGCATACCCTCCCCCCTGCTTTGATTTCTCGTCTTCTTCTTGTAGAATACTATCTTCCACTTCTCTCAAGTTCATACATGTCTACCCTTGAGCCCATTGTTTTATCAGCACTCTTATATCTTCCTCATTCTAATAACCATTGAAGTCTGTTTTTTGTTATGCAAACCCTTGTCATGTTTTTTCCTTTTCTAACAGTGCTCTCACATACTATTTGTCTTTTTGTGATTGCCTAATTTCATTCATTTATTATGTTCTCCAGGTTCATCCATGCCATGAGGGGCTTTGCAGTTTTATTATCACTTTTCAGTAATGCATATTATTCCATTGCATTTATGTACTAAAGTTTATCCATTCTTCCACTGATTGACACGTAGATTGTTTCCATCTTCTTGCTTTTGTGAACAGTGCTGCTATGAACGTGGGTGTGAATATATCCGTCCCTGCTGTGGCTCTCATTACTTTAGGGAAATACTCTCTAAGCATTAAGATTACTGGGTAATATGTATTCATCCACTTCTTTATTGAATCACATTATTTTATTTCCTTTTGGGGGAGGCAGTTTAAAACTGTAATTGGTCCTGTGCACATGTGTCATTGTGCATGTGTATAATTTGTGTGGGGTAGAAAATTACAACAGCAATACATGGCATCTTCAACTTCAGTAGGTCTTTTGGTGTAAAAGAGTTGTTCCAGTCACCAGCATTAGGTGAGAGTTCCCTATTGTTTTATATCTTTCCCTATTTTTGAATACTAACAAACATTCGAATTTTTGTCAATTCAACAAGTTTGAAATGGGATTATTGTGGTTTTAGTTTCAGGTAAGGTATAATAAGTCTTTCTTTTGATTTATTGCCCATCTGGGTTTGTTCTGTAAATATTTTTGCCCCATTTTTCTAATGGGTTGTTTGTCTTTTCTAATTGATGTGTTAGATTGTATAATGCATTATGAACATGTCATATATTGGTTTTGCTTGGTTGAAACATCTTCTGTGCGGTGGCTTGTACTTTATAGCTGAGCTTCTTTGAGTCATGATCCCATAATGGGGGTCATGTAACTGAATGGAAGGGTGGGTGAAGAAAAGTTTGGGAACAGTAAAAGGTTTCTGAATGCACAACAGCTGAATCCAGATTGTTTCTGGCAGTGCTTGCCTGTATTGCAAATGTTTCAGGTAAAAGGGGTCAGAATAGAAAAAGTTTAGATACTTACATTTAGATAACTCATTTCCCCCTTCCTGAATTCTCTATTATATCATTTTGAAAATTTTGCTTTCCTATACAATTCTTTCAGATAACTTATTCTTTTTATTATTATTATTGCATATTTTAGCTCGTAACTAACATCGTGTTTGTTTTTTTCCATAGTGGATTAACAACCTAGAAGTTGATAGCAGATATGATTCATGGCCTTCCAGTCTACAAGAGTTGCTTAGACCCACCTTTCCTGGTGTTATCAGGCAGATCAGGAAAAATTTGCATAACATGGTAAGTAAAGCATATTGTCATCCATCCAGCCATGAAACCTTATTTCTTTCCTGTCCTCTCTTTTACTTTCTAATTGTATCTAGAATGTTCACTTCTATCCTTTATTAGGTGCTTCTGTTGCCACTACTACCACTATATAATGGTCTTTATATAAATCTATAACTAAACTTTGACCCTGAATGAGTTTGAGAATCAATGGATGATTTTTAGAACTATGAAATATTACAGCAGTTTTACAGCTTCCATCAGTATGTAAGAAATATTCTTAATCCTCCGCATGAAGATTTAGGCCTCCTTATTTTCATTTTAAGATGAATTGGTACTCATAAACTACATATTGCTACTATTTTTCTTTCTTAATCCTTAAATTTAGTCATTCTAAGTAGTAAATAGTCATAACTAGTAAGTGAATGAAGGAGCCCTAGTTGCACTGTATGGTAAGCACTGGACTGCTAACCTCAAGGTCAGTTTTTCAAAACTATCAACAGCCCTGCAGGAGAGAGTAGAGGCAATGCATTTCCATAAAGTTTTATAGGCTCATAAATCCTAGATGGGATCACTGTGAGTAGGAATCATCTCCATGGCAGTGGGTTGGGTTAGGTTAGTAACTACAGGAATCACTGGGCCTGCAAATAGTTGATGTTCTCAGTTGCTAATCAAAAGATTGGGGGCTCACGGCCACTTAGAGGTGCTTTGGAAGAAAGCATTGACAATCTGTGCTGCAGTAAAAGAAATCAGTCTTTGAAAACCAGTGTAAGTAACCATTGAAATGTTTTATGTACAACCAAAAACCTCACAGGGTTTCATTCCTTGGTTTGGTGGTTTAGTTAGGAAATCTTAGTTATTTGGCCTGATATTATGTTTAGTGCTTCTTTTCTGCCTCGTAGTTCATTACACTTTTAAAACTTTCAAGTTGTCATCCAAAGCACAATTGATTTCTATTTTCCTAAAGCAAAAGAATAGGAGGACACTGAAATGGAGCTTGTGGCTAATTGCCTCCAAGAGAAACTGCCTTCTTTGCCATGAGGCCAGAAGAACATGATATTCGGCTAATACTGAACACTTTGGTCAAAGAAGTCACTGAAAAGTCTTGATCAAAAGGCGAAAAATGCAGAACAGAATTTCAATTTCTCATGGTTCCTAGAGAAAATGAAGCTGTACTAACTCCCAAACTATTCCCCTGATAATCTTTAAGTCTTAAATTGAAAATATATTGATGTTGTTGGCTCCTGAACAATATTGATGTTGTTGGCTCCTGCCTGGCTGGGTCTGATTCATAGTGCTACTATGTACAGCAGAATGAAACACTGCTTAGTCACGTGCCATCCTTACAATTGCTGTGCCTCCACCCATTGTTGCAGCCACTGTGTCAGTTAGTCTCAGCAAGGGTCTTCCTCTTTTCTCACTGACACACTTGTTTAGAAAGTATGATGTGTGGTATTATTTTGTTGTTTGTGTTCATAAAACTAATTTTAATAGTTTTATAGACATTTAATATACATACCATATACTCAATAGTTTTAACATATTAAAAGGAGTCGTGCAATTGTGATCACAATACATTTTCCCAGCGGTTTTATTGGCATATAATT